GGATGGCATAGTTGGTAGGTGACCAGATGCAGCTCAGGGGCAGGAACTGAGCACAGGATAGAGAAGAGGTTATAACACCAGCTAAAACCTGAGCCCGTGAAAATAAAACATAGATATTTTCCCCACTCTAACTCATTCTTTATCCAAGTTGAACACACTTGAAAGTTGTACACATTTCAACGGCAGCTAGCAGTCGTTACAGCTGTTGTTGATTGCAGTTTTCATGATTGCTTGAATAGCAGACAAGGCATTTTGAAAACTAAGTAACATTTTTTTTGCAGATGTTATTGGCCATAAAATTGTCGCAGCGCCACGATGAAGATTTAGAGGTGCGACAGGCATCCTTGCGGCTTTTGCACGCTATCGTCACCTCATACAGCGCTAATGTGCTTGAGGTTTAGTCGTTTTTTTAGTCTTTGGTCAGCTTTTTTATTTTTCAGTGTGACGAAGCTCATTGTTTTGCTGCCAAATTCTTACGGTCCAAATCCTTTTCTGCAAATAAATACGGTCAAGAAAAGAATCAAACTGTCCTTTTCCACTTCCTGGATACAATGTGCTAGGCCACTGCATCACCTGCCCTTGTGCTCCAAACGTAATTACTTTACTTTTTGTGTATGGAGGTCCACGCGTGTACAGGCCCCATTTAACAGCTGTCAGCTTCTCGCAAAATACCTGCGGAAGCCTAAATATGACCATAAATATTATCTTTTGCGTCCAAGTCCCCAAGTGCGATTTCTTAAAAAGGCTTTTTAAATGTTTATTATACGTTTTTTGCAGCTATGCAATGTAAAAACGCATATTGATGAGGGGTTGTCTGTGTGTCCGTGTGTCTGTGCGTCTGTATGTCCGTGTGTGCGTCTGTCACGCACCTTCATCTCAAGACCTATAAAAGCTGCGGGGTTGAAATTTCGGGAGCTTAATCTACATGCACGTGCAGGCCCCAGTCCCCAAGATGGGCGCCAACACCCATGTGGTACCCGCATACGGCCCAGGCAAAGTTTTTTTGAGATAATTTCATAACTCGGGGATCTGAGAAGCTAGAACGCTGAAATCTTAGGGTAATGTTCCCCGTCCAAGTAGGTGTTAATGCACTGAAACTCATCCCCTGGGTAAGCGTGGTACCCGCGTACGGGCCCGCCAAAATTTTTTTTAGGTAACTTCATAACTCGTGGACTTGAAAAGCTAGAACGCTGGAATCTTAGGGTAATGTTCCCCGTCCAACTAGGTATTAATACACTCAAACCCATCTCGGGGGTAAGTGTAGTACCCGCGTACGGGCTCACCAAAATTTTTGTGGAGTATGTTCGTAACTCGGGGATCTGAGAAGCTAGAACGCTGAAGTCTTAGGGCAATATTCCCCGTCGAAGTATGTATTAATGCACTCAAACCCATCCCCCGAGTAAGCGTGGTACCCGCGTATGGGTCCGCCAG